GTTTAGGGGTGGGGATCTTAACCACTTACATTAGAACTTTCTTAAATGGCAGGGGGTGGGGGTGACCCTGAGGACTAACCCTGTATTTCATTTGATGTGCTTTATTATGACAAACCAGAATATATATGGTTTAGGGGTGGGGATCTCGACCATTTACAAGATATTAGAACTTTCTCAAATGGCAGGGGGTCGGGATGACCCCTGGGGACTAACCCTGTATATCATTCAAACCATCTTAGCATGACAAACCAGAATATATATGGTTTAGGGGTGGGGATCTCGACCATTTACAAGATATTAGAACTTTCTCAAATGGCAGGGGGTCGGGATGACCCCTAGGGACTAACCCTGTATATCATTTAAACCATCTTAGCATGACAAACCAGAATATGTATGGTTTAGGGGTGGGGATCTCGACCATTTACAAGATATTAGAACTTTCTCAAATGGCAGGGGGTCGGGATGACCCCTGGGGACTAACCCTGTATATCATTCAAACCATCTTAGCATGACAAACCAGAATATATATGGTTTAGGGGTGGGGATCTTGACCACTTACAAGATATTAGAACTTTCTCAAATGGCAGGGGGTCGGGATGACCCCTGGGGACTAACCCTGTATATCATTCAAACCATCTTAGCATGACAAACCAGAATATATATGGTTTAGGGGTGGGGATCTCGACCATTTACAAGATATTAGAACTTTCTCAAATGGCATGGGGTGGGGGTGACCCCTGGGGACTAACCCTGTATTTCATTTCATGTGCTTTATCATGACAAACCAGAATATATATGGTTTAGGGGTGGGGATCTCGACCATTTACAAGATATTAGAATTTTCTCAAATGGCAGGGGGTCGGGATGATCCCTGGGGACTAACCCTGTATATCATTCAAACCATCTTAGCATGACAAACCAGAATATATATGGTTTAGGGGTGGGGATCTCGACCATTTTCAAGATATTAGAACTTTCTCAAATGGCAGGGGGTCGGGATTACCCCTGGGGACTAACCCTGTATATCATTCAAACCATCTTAGCATGACAAACCAGAATATATATGGTTTAGGGGTGGGGATCTTGACCACTTACAAGGTATTAGAACTTTCTTAAATGGCAGGGGGTGGGGATGACCCCTGGGGACTAACCCTGTATTTCATTTAATTGGTTTTATCATTTAGAACATTTTCAATTAAAAGGATTGTGTCTATCACAAACGGTTTTCAATTTATAATCATTTGAAAATTTAAAAAAATAAAATCCCATAGGGTTCTATAGTAAAACCCTCTTTTCTTTTTTCCCCTCAAAGTACCCCTTTATAAACCCCATTGCACAAACAAAACCCTGATTGCACCACTAGACATGTTAGTCTAACATATTGTGAAACCTTAAGTTAATCTGACAAGCGGTTTTGGAGAACAGGTGCGGACAAGTTCAAATTTAAAAGCGGCGGAAGAGGAAGAGGAAGAGGAAGAGGAAGAAGAATAATAATAATAATAAGAACTGAGCAAAAACAATAAGTCTTCCCAAACTTCGTTTGGGAGACTTAATAAGGAGATTTGGACGAGGATGTTAACAGCTAGGTATGTCCAATTGATAATAAATTGTCAAGATTTTCAAAAATCTGCATTTTTCATTTGCAAATATAATGGCAGCCAATCGAGTCATTCAACACAGATCTTACAGGAACCAGCAGTCAACCACACCATCATCATTTGGTTCCAATATCATAAATAAAATTTGACTTTTACAAAGGTATTAGCAAGCTGAGATCCTACTTTGTCAGATGTAACTATTCAAATCAAAAGGAGTAAATACACCAATACTATAAATACTTTAAAGGTCTCAAAATACACAAATAGCCTGACTAATCACTTTATGGAAAGATATTTTCGTGATGTCTGTCCGTCTGTCCGGTATAAATCTAATGTGTTTACATGTAAAGTTTTTTACTCATGACATACTTTTGAATCTATATACAAGATATATATTTCCTTTAAAAATAATTCACTACATGCTTCCGCTAGCTATTTTAGTGAAGGTATGTAACTTGTCATTGAATTTTACTGGTGTTGGAACTGTTTCCCCTTCCTTAGCACCAATGAGTTCATACCCTGTTTTAGTTGGGATTGTAAAGTTCAATCTTTGATCTGTGTAATATTTTGGTAAACTATTGTTGTGAACTATTGTTCATCTCTTTGTATCTTTTGATATCACAGACAACCATAGGTAAAACAAAAGATATGGAATGGAAATAACACTTTATAAATTTGGTAAGTCAAATGACCTTTACTGATTTGACCTTCAGGAATGCTCAAAATCAAAAACTTGAAAGACATTGGGATGTATGACTAATTAAATATGTGAGAAGACCAAAAGGGACCTGGAAAGAATAGACAACTCCATCTAAGGTCAACTTTGCCTGATGGAAAAAGAGAGACATAAAGATTTGAAAACAGCATACCTAGCCTACTAAGTGGCCAAATGGTAAAGGTCATTTGAAAACTGAAGAGTCTTAACTGATAATAAAAATGAAATAACACAAATCAATAACATTATATGATCACACAATTATTACATTTGTTAGAGTACAAATCTTTTTTTCATAAATATTTTCAAGTTCAAAAAAGTAAGGGCATAAAGATCTCTAAGGAAAATCTTACGGAAACTAATTCAGAATTAATTAACATCTTCCTACATTCGAAAGATAAATTAACCTGGAATCCATGTTACCACTAAATGAATTATAATTAAATTGCTTTTATCTAATCGTTTAAGTTCTTAATTTCCTTTCCTGAACTGAATTACTTTTTCCATCATTGCACTTATATTAGTCAACAATGCTGAGATATAAAGCATATTTTCTGCTTGTGGAGGCATGTTATTCAAATGTTATACTTTTATAAAATTTTAAGATTTTTGTTTTAAAAGTAATTGAAGAGATTTAAGATGCACAATATTGTTTGCATAGTAGATCAGTCTGCATAAACTAGGACACTGTGGAGTATATTAAAAGCTTACAAATCCATAACCCCCTCCACCCATGGGCAAGGTCTACTTGGGAAACACCAAAATTAATAATAATGTAAAGCAGGATATGGCATTATACAAGTTTAGGATTTTCCTTCTCAGTTTATATCAAACTTTTTCAGGATTCAGACATTTATATTTATAAAATAAAGAAAATATATTCATGTCTTTCACACACAAAAATGAAACTAAAAGATTTAAAGGTAAGTGAACACATTCAAATTGTGAATAAATAAAGTACTGATCATTAAAAAAGGTGATTGCACCTAACCCCATTCAGACTGGTAAATTTTAGTCTATTTAGAGCTGCTGTGACCTTGAAAAATGACTTAATGACCCCAAAATTGATAGGAATATTCACCATTCTATTGTGCTCTCCAATTTGATAAAAAATAAATATATGGTTCAAAAGATAACATAAAAAAACAAAAATGTTTCCAAAATTTTAGTCTACCAATAGGTGTTGCGATGTTGACTCTTAACCTATTGAACCCCAAATTTATAGCTGAGTAGAATGATGCAAGCACAGGGAAGATATTGATCATTTCAAATCAGTGATTTATCATTTTTCATAAAATCCAAATTTATTTTATTTTCTACCAATAGCTGCTGTGTACTTGACTCTTAACCTATTGAACTCTACAATAAGAGCTGAGGAGAGTGATACAGGCACAGCAAAGATCGATAAGAGTACTTATCAAATCATTTCAAATCAGTGATCAAGCAATTTTCATAATATCCAAATTTCTTTTCTATTCTTCAATGTAGACCAGCCGAGTAAAATTAATTTAGGTTTAAATAAGCACATTTAGTATTGGTACTCCAAAATGTATTATCAAGCCATAAAAATACTCAAAACATTGAAGATTCATTCAGTTAATTAATGCTTCCGACATTTCTGGGTCAAGTATAAAGTGAAGAATGTTAATTCCTGCTAAGGCGTCAATCTTGAAGTTGAGTTACTAGTATAAGTCTTATTAAGAGGGATTGACTCACTTATAGGTGGTCAGTTCAATGGTAATGTTGGTAAAAAGCAAATTTATTAGAGGGGAAAATCCATTGATTACCTGCCAGAGCATAGCAGGAAACTAAAGCTGGTGTTTTCTTAACCTTTTAGCATTAAACAAATTACGATTACTCTATTGTTTGTCCAAATTCTTCTTTTATATGGCAGACAAGTTAAACAAATTCAATTAAAGCTTAATTTCATAAAGAGATTTATGTACCAACAAATGTATTCAAACCCATACTGGGGGCCAAATTCTTCACCTAATAATTGATAAAACAATGTGGGAAACAAACATTACAAGAATCATTTAATCCTTTTCAATTGGAAAAAGAAAAAATACTGTAATGTTTATGACAAATTTACTATCTATCAATCTTTAGATTTTACAATCACTAATATAAATTATTCAGTTCAAACCCTATTTGTAAAAGCAAAATCAGTGACTATAGCCGACAATTAATCAAAAATTCTGTAATCTCCGGAGTATATGTTTGACACATTCCCCATTTCCATTCTCAATTTTATTCTTTTCTTTTTTAAAGCTATCAAACATCCATAAATTTCTCACAAAATTCTTCAACATTAATGAAAATAATTACATTTAATAGTTTTCTAAACTCTGTTTGAACCCCCCTCTGCCTTCTTATCCCTCTTAAATTTAGTTTGATAACAGCTAGTTTTGAATTATTAGTTCACGCTCCAGTCAACTGGGAAAATAATTTGCACAAATGTTTGCATCAAAAATTTAATTATGACAATCATAAAGATTTGATATTTCTTGCTAGAGATGAAAGTTTATCAAAAGTGTTTAAATCAAATTACCTTAGAGAATGGCTTTCCTAATCCAATTTCAAGTAAAGGAGCTTTTCTTATTGTGTTAAATTCACCAATATAATATCAATTTCCTCTCAAAATCCATAGTTTATAAAATAAAAAATATATATTTTAATTCTATTACCTTTCACAATTTTCCCTTATCCAATTTCAATCCAAAAGAACTTCTCTTACAATGCTCAACAAAACAGCATCCAACTGGCATCAAACAGCAGGATTATAATCATCACATTCAAATCCAGTAAAAACAATCAGAAATAACTTGTCCTTAATGGACGCTTAACAACTAAAATAATTTGCCTCCTTTTCTACAAATGATCTTTTACGTCTTTAAATGGAAATGGATAATGAGGAAACACGCCAATCTTCGACTCTGTCGTTATCTACAAGTTTTAAACTAAACGGTATCTAATCAATATGAACATATTCCCATTGTAGGCATGTATATTTCTACAAATGATTTGCTCACATATCTAGGGAGACATATTAGCAATTGTAATTTTTCATTCTTCCTGTTGTATTGTAGGACAAACTACTAAAATAAATCAATTCTTCATGACCAAATGACAATTTCTCAGCATCTCTTTCTGTAACAGATTTTCACATAAGAGTGACAAAATAAGAAGTCACTTTCCTGACTAATGTCACTTAAGTATGAAATATGATTCTTCGTACAATCAGTCAAAGAGGTCTTTGGAAAATATGTAAGGAAAATGGGAACCACATTTACTTTGGATGATTTTACTGATTTTATGTGATATATACAAAATGTAATTTGAGCTTTTGCTCACTAAGGATACTCCGGCTATAAGTTTTTTTTTGGTAAACAGGAATTTGATGAGCAATGCTTATGAAAACAACATGATCATTTGAAGCTTAATACTAATTTCAGTAAGCATTGATTTGTAGTTGTTGAGAAAAATGTAATGAAAATTTCATTGGATTGATGGACTGAAAGAGGTAAAGCAGTTTAAAATGAATTTGCTATTTGCTTATAAATAGGTCTGAGAACTGACACAGAAAAGGAGTATGATACTCCATAATACAAAAAAATGTTTGTTCATAAACATTACATGCAAATCTGACTTTTGATGTACTTCGTGTCACATATAAATACTGTACTAGAGTTGTACCCCATCTTAACTCCATCAAAGCACCTTAGGTCTGATTTTTGGTAAATGCAATTCCAATAGTTTTCAAATCTACAATTGGATTCATGATTTTGAACCGCTTTGGATTTACATTTCCTTTAATCTTCATCACATGAAGGAGTTTTATATAACAAAAGTACAAATGACGACATTGGATCAAGATATATATATATTAGCAGATAATTAAAAATTCCCTGAATACAAAATGTGGGTAGATAATTTAGACAGCTTAGAAAGATTGTGTTACATACAGAATGTCTATAATCTGATCCTTCAGTATATTTATAATGCTGCAAGTATACATTAACTCTAAATTTATAGAAGTAATAGACATAGATAAGTCAATGAGAAAGAGCTTAATAATGCCTTAATAACCACTCAAGTAATAATTTACCCAGCATGCCCCACTATTACTGCTGTTTGTATTGTAAAAGGGACATTTGTTTTCTATTTCAGAGCAACTTGATGTTCTCGTAATTTCAAACAACTGATCTTGTAATGGTAAATAGAGTGCATACACTGAATTTCCCAACCTGTTTTGATTTTCACTGTATATATATATGTTTTTGTATCACAAGCTGTTACATGCTTTTGAATGACAATAAAGATTATCTCTTTAACTGAAAAAAATAGATCAAACGACTCAAATAGCGGGATGTGAGGAATGTTTCTTTCAGTATAGCATGTATAGAGAATAGTCTATATAATATAATATACATTCAAATACAAAAAAAATAACATGTAAAACTAGAGGCTCTTAAAGCCTGAATTGCTCAACTTGCAAAAAAACATCATTTTGATATTTGTTTTCACCTTTATTGGTTATGTTTGCTTATTTGCAGATCTTATCTAGATGATCATTTGTGCTGCTTTCTTTCTATCATTAAAGTTTTTGAGAAAATATAAAAAAAAATCAAAATAAGAGTTCAAATATGGTCATTCAATGGCAATAACTTCTACAAGGAGTCAATTGACAATTTTGGTCGTGTTGCTTATTTTTAAATCTTATCTTGCTGATAATGTTTGCAACTTAAAGGAGTGGACTTGCAATTTCTGTGATTTGCCTTATTTTTAAATCTTATCATGCGATCATTTTTGCTTCTTAATGCTTTTGAAGTCAATTAACTATTTTGGTCAAGTTGATTTAATTGTAAATCTGATCTTGCTGATAATTTTTGCTACTAATAAGGATTTGAAAGAGAATGTTGTGATTTGCCTTATTAGTAGATCTTCAATAATCTTACTGATCATGATTTGCTACTTAAAAGGAGTTAATTGACTGTTTCATGATTTGCCTTATTTGTAGAACTAGTCATTTTGACCATATCTGCTGTTTACCAGTTCTCTCGATCTTTATAGTTTCATGAAAATAGCCAAAAAAACAAACAATTGGCAAAACTTGTAATTCAAGGGCAATTACACTTTCAGGGGTTGATTGACAATTTTCATTACATTGACTTCAAAGCATATCTCGATGTGCTGATCACTTCAACTGTTACAGTTTCTTTCTATCTATCATTGTAGTTCAAATAATTGGCAAAAAATGCCAAAAATGGTCAAATTTGTCATTTAAGGGCAAACACTCCTATAAAGGAGTCCATTGATAATTTCTGTTATATTGCCTCAATTGGCAATTTGACTTATTTCCTGATCTTGGTTTGCTGATAAAATTTACTACTTACAGTTTTTCTCTTTTTGTGAGGGTCTTTAAAGATAATTGCCAAATATGCCCAAAACGTCTAAAACATCGTCACTTAAGGGCAATAACTCCTATTAGGAATAGAATGATAATTTATATGGAAAAAGAAGGTATGATATATCTTATCATTCTGAACCTTTTAGCCTGTCATATTTTCTTTATCTATTATGGTTTTTAAGATATTACACAATTTATTGTCAATTGACTTAGGTTCCTAGAAGGATAATCCAATTTATATAATTATAACTTATACAAAAAGGCAATACCAAGACATTGATGAGAAGTGTAAGTTTTCAATCTATATTCCTTTATCTTGGGTGTGATGGTCTGTATGTAAATCAATATGAGATACACATTAAATAATATTGACATATGCTTTCCAGAAGTGTAAAAGTTTTGTCAATCTTCAGAATTATGTCAAAAACAAGGATTTACTCTGATGAAGCATTAAGAATAAGTCATAAACACTTAAAAATCATTATCATAAGGCCACATAAAAATAACATGTCTTTTCCTGGCACAGTTTTTGAAATCATACTAAACTCATTGTTGAAGGCCATATAGTTGCCTATAATAGTTTACATCCACTTCATTAGAATTTTGGTGGGTAGTCTTCTCATTGGCAATCATACCACATCTCCTTACTCTTATTTAGACATCCTCAAAGATTTCTTTGAAATTTACAGAGGCTTTAGTGATAAAAAAAAAAAATAATAACTGCTTGCCAAATAACTTTTTGATTGAAGAATTTTACATTGCCTTAAGGTTAATCTTTAAAAAATATATTTATATAAAAAGTCATTAGGTAAAAATAAATATACATGGACTTGCATTATATACAGACAACAAATCTTATATCCTTATTCTTAAATAAAAGAAAAATGTGTCTGAGGATACGAATTACCCGGCTCAAGTTTTTCAATTTTCCAAGTTGAAAAGGGGCACAACTCTAGAACAGTAAATGACTCACTGCCCAAATTTGAACTCTGTTTGTGTGTTGTGGTTCTTAGCATTTTGTATGAGTTCAATAAAATTTAGATGAGGAAAACCTAAGTTAGAGTGCGAAAACAAAATGGGACAGACAGAAATACATAAGGACGGACAGAAAGACAGACGGTCAAGGGTAACACTTAATGCCCCTATTGCCTACGGCGGGGGCATGAAAATGACTGCAAAGATTGGAAATTCTTCCTCTCTCATCAAACCAGTAACTGTTTTGGCTAATAAACGTCATTTGGTTTCTAGTAGATAGTTGTATAAATGGCAATCATACCTCATCTTCTTATTTTATATCAATGTGCAGAAAACAATGCTTTACTTGAATTGATACAATTTTTTTAATTCACTGAGTGTACATCTCAGTTTCAATATACTAAGATTGCAGAAAACAATGAATCTTATGATAACTGACATGAACTGGTACAACTTTCTAATGCACTGACCTTTCACAGCTCTAACAAACTTGGTAACCTACTTTGTTTTTGTAATGGGTTGCATCTCTCTGACTTTTTTGATACCATTTTTCAAATGAAAAAGTGGCAAGATTATAAAAGTCTGCAATGTTACTTACAATTTTTACCCTCTTTTGTTAACAAAAATCACATTGACAATATTCTCAAGCTGCTTGCTGATCTGTAAAACATAAAACATAACAACTATAACAGTTTTTTTCAGTGACAAATAAAAGAATAAATGAATGTCCCCATCTGCGGCAAATATTTGATCTGTCAAATTATTGCAAATTTTTTTTTTTGGTCTTTCAAACCTTTTCATAAAAATCTGACTAGAAATGAAGGTGTGTAAGTGCTTACTAAGCAATTGTCCATATGGTAGGGCATCAGTCCTGAAAGAATTGTTAATTCCGGTTGTTTTTTTTATACAAATCTGAGAAGAAATGTAGTATGAGTGCTTACTGAGTAATTTTGCATATGGTTTCTAATTCCAAAGGGCATAAGTCCTGGAAGAATTGTTGATTAGGATTATTTCATACAAATCTGACAAGAAAGGTAGCTGTGACAGTGCTTACCATACACTTTCCAATAAAATTTACATGTCCAAGACCAAGGGACAAACTCCATTAAAAATATTTTTTTATGGGCACTGACTTTTGAGACATTGCTGATATAAATTTGATAAAAATCTGTCAAGAAATGTAGGCTAGAGAGTTCTTTATAAACCTTGCAATTTTAGATATGATTTACATTTCCAAGGGACATAACTCCCTTATAAATACTTGACAGGTGCTGATTTTTTAACTTGTCTGAGACATTGCTGATATAAACCTTTCATAAAACAAGTGACACAGTTCTGAATGAATTCAACAAATTGGGTTCAAAACAGCTATGCAATTTTAGAGAACAGTTTTGGAAATTTATCCTTTAATACAACCTATCTTCAGTCATGATGGTGGTGTTGTGTTGTTTGGTGACCAATAACTTTGGTTTAAACAATTTTGAAAACAAAATAATTGTAAAGGATAACTCTGTTACAAT